ACTCACCTCTGGTATAACCCGCTCACTTCATCCAACCTGGGGCAAACTTGATTGTTGAACATGGATGGATGTCATCTACCTGTATATTAAGGATCTCACAACCGTAAAGAGGAACTGGCCAGACAGTGGCGCAGTATACACGACTTTTCAACTGCAGTGAATCGTCATGTCTCGATACAGTTGTTTTAGTCGTGTGTACACTAGTGGAATGCGGGCGGTAAATCCCTTTTTCGATGCGCGACCGTCATTGGTCATGCAGCTACCCAAGTATGAGAAGCAGTCAACTTCGGCTACTTTCTGATCGTTTAGTTTCTGAACGGGACTCGGCTATACCGAGTCTTGGAACATCACTTTACACTTTGATGATGAAAAGCGCATGTCTAGGGCGCTTTTCGCGTCCTCAATACATTCGAACGAAAGCGGTGACAGTGAAGTGAAGCGTTTAGCTATCGGTGGATCAATCTTCCAGACGATGCCTGTTTTTTCAGTCAGTGTTATCTACGACCCACCCCACGGAATAGAATTGTCTACGACTACCACCAATCAAAGATCTTGAGAAAATGACACGCTCGCGAAAGTCAGTTCTACTTTACGACAGCACTCAATGACTGACAGTCGCTCTTAACCACTGCTCAGTGTTTAAAAACATCTCTAAACCGACTGTTCTGTCATCCCTCTCTGAGAAAGACTATTTGACCGAATAGCGTGCTTATGGTGGTATTGATGGCAGAATTGTTTCATTCTCTGTACCCTGTTCTTTCCCATACCACTCACTTTCGATTATAGTTGGTTTTTCTCTCATCCGACCCAAGTCATGCTCATCCCTTTTGATCCTTGTGTATTCCCAATCCACCGGTTCCCACAACTGAACATTGGCTGCTCGTAGCTGTGATTTTCACTGCTTCCACATCTTATTTAAATGAAATTAAAATAGTACTCTTTGTAGACGTTTTCGTCTATGTCATTTTTTGTGTAAAACTTCTATCTGGCCTTACTTTTGTATCCATTGACTGACCGTCATCGCGTATAATATCAAGGGGGAGCGGATTACGCTACGTCTCTAGCTCAAATCTCCTGAACCGTTCCCTTTCATTGATCCATACTAGTCACCCAACGATCGATTGTGGCTCTACACAATTGATTTTATTTGGCAACAGCCACACCGAGGTGACCGCGTGGCAAACGGGTTAAACCATGTAAGGGTAGCTGGGTTCCTCGGAAAATGGTGAGTTCGAGCATCATCCATTCATGTGAAGTAGTTCTTCTTCGGGCTGCCTGACGAAGGCGGTCTAGATACAGTTACACGACTGCGAAAAATCGACCTACGCTCGATTGTATGTGCCTCTGCGAACAACAAAACCGAGTGATATTGACCAAATCATTCGTGTCGAATTTCTATAACATTTCATGGACCGAGAAGAGAAGACAGACAGTAAAATAGTAAGTGACGAAATTCAATTGGTAAACGACTAGAGGTATCCACTTTTTCGAGTTTCCTGTGAGCAGAACATTGTGAAAATATGATTTTTGGAAGCACAGTTTCCTCACGACGAATTGGAATAGAGAAGCCAAAAACAGGTTTGAACAGTGTATCTTAGATCGATTCGCTGATTTGCTATACTTGGATACTTCGGTTTATGTGATCCTTACTGTACAATCCGGAAGAATCGCTTTCCCCTCACAACAGATTCACTTGTATCTATCTGTTCAAATTCGGATGTTCGACCGTCTACGTCGATAGATCGGGGAGAAAACTGCGGTTCCAGAGTAACCGAGCCCATCCCGGTCTAGATTCAAAAAATATAAGGGGAAACTTTGCAAGCATGCCTTCCTCGCTCATCATCATCGTACAGCGAGATGCAGTGAAGCGAACTTCACTAATCGCTGCCAAGCTCACAATGTACAAAAGTCAAGTGATAAAACACAAAATGGAGAGGGATTGGGCCTAGTTGGAGGGAGGCAAAGAAAATGAACCCCAAGGTCAACGCAGAGTGCACAATCGAACGCTGCATACATACTTTTCAAACATTCTGATCCGACAAGAAATGACAACAAGAACGCCACTGTTGTCGGTTGGTCGCCATATCCTTCAGTGTCTCCAACAAGTCAGTTGCAGTCTTTTAGATCCCAACCCGGAAGACGGGCGACATCTATTCTACTAGGTCGATCTGTGCCTTTCTTCATGCCTCGTTTCCACGTCATCTGTTAACCTTCGCGCGGTTTTTTCCAAAGTGGAGCCGCAACTGCCAATAAGGCACGGTGAGGTAGACGATGGCTGAGGAGGCGCAATACATGTTCTAACCAGCGAGGTCGATTAGTCTGAATTCTGATACAGCGAACACTCCATCAAATCATTACCAAATACTCAACGCCTTACCTCAGGGTTGCTTACATGCTCGCTCCATCTAACCCGCGTCAAACTACATAAACATCGGCATTTGAAGACTTCTAAACGACGAATATCTGAAAACGCACAAGGCCAGGCTCTTGCAACCATAGAGCAGAACGGACCGCACACTGGAGCAGTATGCACGACCTTTCAGTTTCAATGAAAAATCAGGTATGGACCGAAGTACCTCAATTCTGCTCAAGCCTTGAAAATGCGGGCGGTTACTTCATTGACCATGCTACCGTCATTTGTAACGCAGCTACCTCAGTGAGTGATACGTTATACTACTGATAATTCTTGACGAACAAGCATCAGCGCTGGGGTAGACGACATCCAGTCTTGTAGCATCACTTCGAATGTGCAAAGCGCATATCGAAAGGAGTTACAGAACTTGCTAGTCTGTCAAGAGTGCTTTGCGCCTCCTCCATACATTGGAACAGGCAAACGATGTCATCAGCATACTCTAAATCGCACAGCTTTTCTCCAGCTGCCCATTCAATACCTACGTTCTGGAGACCAGTAAGTGAGGTCTCCAGAACTTTGTCTACGACGAAATTGAACAGGAATGGCGAAATAGGGCACCCTTGACGGACACCGCTCCTGGTTTCGAACTATTTGCTTAGCCCACCGTAGACCCTTATGCTACCAGAAGTATGCATATACAGCGACCGCAATAGGGTTACATACTTCTGAGGCATTCCTTTGCGGAGCAGTGACCCCGTGAGAGCTTCACGATCAACTGAATCGAAGGCTCCTTTTAGGTCAAGGAACACTGCGATTGTTGGCCGACGTGTGTGACGCAATTCGAGGACTTGACGCAGAGTGAAGATTCGGTCAATGCAACCGTGACCTGGTCGGAATCCGGCTTGTTGTTCGCGGATATTCCTCTCCCTTAAGGGTGTCAGGCGATGAAGTATCACAGAAATCAACACTTTTGTGATTATCGGAACTAAACTATTCCCGCGACGGTTTACGCAATTGTTGCGTGATCCCTTCTTTAAGATCGGGACGCTCAATGATTCACCCCAGGACAAAAGGATACTCTCTCCCGAATAACTGCTGCGAAGTAAGCTAATGACCGAGTCAACAAGAGAATCACCGCCCGACTTAAATAGAGTAGGAAGAAGCCCATCAGGTCACGCAACGTTCCCTTTCTTCAATGATTAAATGCAGCTTCGTACTTCCAATTCTGATGGTGGCTCACATGTTACCACTCATGGGGTTTCCGCCGCAATATATGAAATGACCGCATTAGCACTGAGCCAATTGAACTGTTCACAAAATTACTCTGCCCAGTAATCAAGTCGTTGTTCTTTATTGTTAATACTCTGTCCACGTTTATTTGGAATGGTCTCGCTAACCGGTATGCGACTACCTCCGGTGTGTCACCACTGATCCGTAGGAAGCTGGTTTCATCCAGCACACAACTCTTGGTCGAAATGAAGCACTGTGTCATGCTGCGAGACGCGTTTGGAATCGTCTACAGCAGAAACAATGTTAGGATTATGCAATACACCGAGGCAATAGCCGTTCGAAATCACCATTCCCAGCCTTGAAAACTATGCGAATAGCTTATCACTCTGGCACTACCCTGATAACAAATGTGTTTGGTGTGTACTTTCGACCGCAATCTTTTTCCGCCTTTAGTTGTGTAATCTCTAACCAGATAATAATGATCACGTTAACTGCAGTATGCACGTGAACAGATGCAGCGAAATGATCCGGGATACATGGTGCAAACTTGTGCTTTTGGCTTCCTTATTCAACAATGATCATAACAATTGTTTCTATTTGCCGCTTCAACCACTAATGTTCCTGAATTTTAACAACTTCAGGGGTTCGGGTGGAAGCGTTGAATGCTGCGTTCAGTCAAGAAGACCTGATCGAGCACGAAGCGGACGCCGTTGTCTGTACTTTACCTTTGGGTGTATTGAAGGAGTCGATCAAACATTCCCGTCCGGGAACGCCCAAGTCGGGTGGCTCAAAATCACATCCAACCTCGAATTTCACTGTTTCCGACTTGACGCGTCTCACCGCCCCGGTATTCCAACCGCCATTACCAGACTGGAAAGTAGAATCTATCAATCGGTTGGGTTTCGGAGTCTTGAACAAAGTAAATTTCCCCCTCTGTGTCACTTCCCATTGCATTACGCTGCACAGTGATGATGATGATGATGATGATGATGATGCCACTTCCTATCATCTGTGTTATTTCACATTTGTCCCCAACTTGTCAGACTGTGTACCATTTCGATCATGGTGCCTCAAATGATTTTAGCAGAAAAATAATTTTTGACTAGATTCTGGGTACGATTTTCCCGGTTTGTCTCAAACGAACTGGGTAGGGGATTCAAAACCGTTGCCTGCGTCTAGCCCAAGCCTGACCTGCAAGGCAACGGTGTCTCTATCTAACAATTACGATGTCACAGATCACAGACGAACCATGGCCACGTTTGTGCGCTGTATAATAGAACTAGCCGAACTGTTG